CCTGAGGGCAAAGCTCACCTTCTCTCCCCGCCCCCCCCACACACACCCCTCCCAGCCCTCCCCCTGCATCGCTGACAGGCCTCTGGGGGTTCAATCCGTCCCCCTGGCCTGCTCCTCACGCTCCCCTCCCTTGTTCAACTTCTCCACCAAGCGTTTGGTTTATTTAGAAAAAGGAAAACAACTGAGGGGTGAGAGTCTGCCTAGCTAGTTCCTTGTTTCTTACATACGCTTTTTATTGTGACTCCAAGGAAGAGGGCCCCGGGGTGGGGAGAGGCCCCCACACCACCACTGAACCCGGCCGTTGCTTGACTTGAATTCACTTTCCTGAGCACAGACCAGGAGAGCTGAACCCGGGGAACAGAGTACAGGGCACTGACCGGGCATCGCTGGGATAATTGGGCATAACGCAGGAAGTCAAGAATGTAAGAAGGAAGCTTAACTTCCCTCTTCCTTCCAATTTAGGTACCACCAGCACCCTCCTTAAAGCAAGAGGGAAAGGAAGGCGCTTAGATAAGGAAGTTCAGCATGCACCGGCTGGGGAGCTAGGCAGGGGTGAGGGATGGCCATCTAGGCAGACACACCCTTGTCCCCGGACACACCCCTTCCTCCTGAGACGGGCACGTACACACAAGTCCCCCATGCACTTGCAAGGAGAAGGGTCTAAGGATCCTCTCCCAAGAGAAATCCCTTTGGGTCCTAGCCAGTCGGGACACTCACTTCCAGATGTGTGTCCCTGTCGCTCTCAACCCAGAGCGATCCCCATCTAAAGCACCCCCAGTCCCAAGCACAGGGGCACGGAAGCCCAGAGGAGTGGGCCAGGCCTCTGGTCTAGAGGCCAGAGCTCCCAGAATCTACGCTGTCTGCCCAGCACCTGGTTTACAAAGAGTCAAAGACCCAACCCCAGGGTATGTGTTCCAGGCCGGCCTCAGCCTAGCCAGGGCTCGGAGCAAGGAGGGGCCCCATCCAAACTTCACACAGCTCCCAAGATGCACAGCCAGGCCGGCCAGGAGGAGCAGGTCAGATGGGACCAAGGACAAGAATAGCTGACAGGAAGCAAAGCTTTTACACACACACAATCTGCTCTAAGGAATGTTCTTTTAAAAAGCCACTTCTAGTGGCCTGAATCTTCCTTTCAGCCCCAGGATGTAGGGATTGAGGGAGGAACCGTTCTGTCGAATTCCCCGAGTGCCCCCAGCTGGCCCAGCCGCGTGCTTTTGGGTGGGCAGCAGCCTCTGGGAGAGGAGGTGGTCCGGCAGGAAGACACCGGGTGCGGCGTGGGGCCCCTTAGTGGGCCGAATGCAGGCCCCATCTTGGGGGTGAGGAAAACAGAGGAGGTCTGAAAGGGGGATTTGGGAAGCAAGCCAAGGAAAGCGAGGCTCTGCACCTGGCCCCACGGGCCCCCCACTCAGGTGAGGGGGATGGGAGCAGGGCCAGGGGCCTGAGGGGAGGACATACCTCCCAGACCCTCGGGAGCGCTGGCAGGTGTCTCCGCAGACGGGGCCCAGACGCCGGCTTCTCCACCGGGGTGTCTCGGGAGGGAAGCACCCCCACGAGGACACAGGCCTGAGGTCTGCCCTGTACACATCTGGTGTCTCCATGGCAACACATCCGCAGCCACCCGCCTGTGATCTCCCGGCGGTGCCTCCTTTTCATCTCATCTTTTTTTAACAACCTCATCCCTTTCCTTATCTGCTGTGTGTTTAGCCATTTGCGGAAGTTCCCAGTTTGCAGTAGGGAATTCACGTAGCCCAGCCCAGTGAGGAATCTGGGAGTGGGGTGGGGTGGGGGGAGGAGCAGGACGCGTGAAGCCGTGTGTGTGCGCGTGTGCGCGCGAGGCCAGATTTCCTTTGCCTTTCACAGACTGCCTAGTGCACCGAGATGTGCGCCCTCCCCCTCCCCACGCACTCACTCACCCCCACGCCGACACACCCACGCACACTTAGCACAGGGCCGTGCACGCCTGGGCTCACGCACACGCACACACAGATGTGCACGGATGTGTGTTCGCAAACAGGCTTGCGATTCCTTCTGGTAGCTCGTCTGTCCTTTGTGAGGCACAGGCAGCCGGGGTCACTCCCGCTCGAACGTGGGAGCCTGAGAGGGCACTGGCGAGGACGCTGTGTGAGCCGGAAGGTAGGCTGTGCCCAACGTGAAAATCCAGCCCTGAGTTCATATCCACCCACCCAAAACGTTGCCCCACTGCCCCATCCACATCTGGAAGCCCAGGTCTCCACGACAGAACTCTAGATTTCTCAGAGGACACCTCTGCCCTCATTTACATATCTGCCGGGGCAGTGGAGGCTCCCGACCCCTGACCAGACACCCGGTCGCATTAGGATGTGCCGGGCACTGCCCGTAGGTAACAGGGAACCTCCCTGACCTCTGGGCTCCTGGGCGGATGATGCCAGGGCCCCTGTCTCTGTGACCACCTGAAGCAGGTTGACACAAGGACACCTCTGTGTCCTCTGGCTCTGCCTCGTCATGCCCTCGGGAAATCTGGTGTTGCACCCAGCAGCCCACGCTGGGCACACCAGCACTGCCCTTCCCCCTCGTGGCCACGCCCCCTGCGTGCACACCAGCTCCTCGCCCAGACTGCCAAGATGAACCAAAAAGCTGCTCGGCTTCCAGAGCGCCTTTCTCCCAGGGCCCCAGGGGGTTTGCAAACCCAGGCCGCCCGTCCTGTCCCCTCACCTGACACTGCCCCAATTCAGAGGAAGCACGGACACTTCCAGCTGCCCCGCCCAGAGCACGCTGTCTCGAGGCCTTCTGTCTTTGCCCACACCTCCCTGGGCAGAGCGTTCAAAGGTGCCAGAGCCTCCCAGAGCCCACTCTGGGCAGGGGCTTCCTTCCCCTCCCCGTGGTGCACGTGGTGTGAGGGGCTGGAGGACAGGAGCGGGGAGGGGGACCCGCCCCCAGCAGCAGCCACCTGATCTGAGTGCCTCTGTATGGTCCTGCCCAGTGGCAACCTTGGCCGCCACCCGGAGCACAGATGCCCTCCTGGGACCACCCCCCTTCTCTTTGTTTCCGTAAGAATAACCAAAAGCATTTAAACGTGTTACCTTTCTTTACACATACGGACTCCAAAAACAAAAACCAACACAAATCTTTATTTTTTTGATTTAAAAGATATAATGAAGAACTGTGGGGAGAATATTCATCGTGGCAGGTGTCTATCTGTAAGAAAAATATATATCTATATGTCATATAGCTTGTTAGCAGGTTTATTTTTTAAATGAAAGGTAAAAAAAGAAATTGATTTGAAATATATACCACGAGATGTCCCATGGCCTGTCAAACTTGTCGGTATTTTATAAATAAACTTTTTTTTTTTGGAGTTCTGAAGCAACATTTATTCTTCTCCTTCTGGGAAAGTAACTGGGGACCCCTACCTTCATATCATGCTCAAATGATAGTGCGGGCTTTTGTTTCTTTTACACCTTTAGGATAATAGCCACTCGGATTGTACCGGATCAGAGGCCAAATGATAATGATTGATAATGCTGGCAATGACAATACCTAACATTTGTGTGGCGTTTACGCCCTGCGAGACACTGCTGTTATCACTTTCCACTGATGAACTCAGGGAATGCTCATGACAACACCTTCAGCAGAGAAGCCGGATCAGGGAGAATTTAAGGGGCTTGCTTGCCCTTGAGAATTGGAAATGCCGGAGTTTGTACTAACGCAGTCTGGCTCTAGAGACACGTGCTGCCTCTGTGTTATTTTAAGGCAAGTTCCTTACCCGTGTTCATTTATTTTTATTTATGTATTTTTTTTTCAACGTTTATTTATTTTTGGGACAGAGAGAGACAGAGCATGAACGGGGGAGGGGCAGAGAGAGAGGAAGTCACAGAATCGGAAACAGGCTCCAGGCTCTGAGCCATCAGCCCAGAGCCCGACGCGGGGCTCGAACTCACGGACCGCGAGATCGTGACCTGGCTGAAGTCGGACGCTTAACCGACTGCGCCACCCAGGCGCCCCTATTTATGTATT